GGGAGGCGGAGCCAGCCAGGGGGAGGGGCCATGGGCAGTTGGCCAGCCGGCCTCGCCCCCTGGTCAAACTCCCGGTCAAACTCCCAGTCGAGGGGACAATTTGCATATTATCTTTTGATTATATAGGATTGCCAGTGCATGTCATATGTACCAGTCGGACGGTTGGTCACTTAGCCTTTTATATATATAGATACTACCCACACTTACATTTCTATGTGTGTTATACATGGTGTCCTAAAAAAATGTGTACACACTTTGAATGATTATAAAGTCAGTTCATTTTCAAAATTTAAAAGAATCTACAGAAATGAGTAATTTTTTTTTGTCAATGCCTGTTTTCAAACTGATGACCATTCTGGTCCAGGTACTGCTGATAATGCAAAGCGGTGAAATCGCAAATATCAAGAATCATTTTGTTTGGTATTTATGTGCCCTCAATTCATTGAATGTTGCCAGTTTTGTACTGTAAACTTTATCTTTTATGGGTCTCCATAAAAAAAAAGTCTAGTGGCACTTTAGGATAAATTTTCTTTGTTCAAAGCTTAGTCTGGCCTCACCCATTATTTCAAATTAGTTAAACCTGAAAAGGAGTGAAAATTTAGTGAGTTATCAGCTGTTAAAGTGTGTATACATTTTTTGGGGGGACACCCTGTATGTCAAAAGTGAAGATTAATTTGGAGATGTAGTTTTCTGCATAATCACAGAAGAACATACAGGATGTCCCAAAGATATGTATACATAGTGTGGTAAAACAGCTGATGGCTCAATTTTGAAAATGAAATGTATTTTAATAAACACTGCCTTTATAATTATTCAAAGTGTGTGTATATGTTTTTTTGGGACACCCTATATATGTTATTACTAACACAGTTATTGAGCATTTATAATGTTAAGTCTTTTTATCTAGAATACTTTTTCCTTTCCATCTGTCAGGAACTTATTAATGGCAGAGAGCTCATTTTATTCTTTTTTTCTTTTCTTTTTTATTTCAGAGAGGAATGGAGAGGGAGAGATAGAAACATCAATAATGAGACAATCATTGATCAGCTGCCTTCTGCACACCCCACACTGAGGATCGAGCTGGAAACCCAGGCATGTGCCCTGACCGGAAATCAAACTGTGACCTCCTGGTTCATAGGTCAGCGCTCGACCACTAGGTTTTTTATTCATTCTTGAGTCTTCCATTTCCTATCTCAGTAAATATCTTGATTTATTGATTATTACCAATCAGCAAGCTTTTGCTATGAAGGGCCAGAGAGCAAATATTTGAGGATTTTCGGTCTATATGGTTGCAACTGGGCTGTTTTAGCCTGAAAGTAGCCATAGATAATAATTAAATGAGAGAAGTTGAGTTCCAATAAAACTTTATTTCTGGACTCTAAAATTTGAAGTTATATGCCACAAAAGAATTATTTTTCTTTTGATCCCCCCCCCCCAAACAACTGAAAAATATAAAAACCATTCTTAGCTCATGGGCTGTACAAAAATAGGCAGTGGGATGCATTTAGCTCATGGGCTATAGTTTCCTAACCCCTATTCTACATGATCTCTAAAGTTCTTTCCTCTGCTAACTTTCTAGAAAAGCAGAAGAAGATACAGAACATGATGGATGAAGCCAAGAGATGAACAAGATAATATTCTTATTCTGAGATATCCTGCAATTTAAGGAGGCAGTCTAACAGAATGAAAGGATAAAAAGGAGGGGGTAGTCTTTTTAGAAGAGTAATTATGCCTGGGCAGAACATTCCTTTACCTAAGAGAGCAAGAATATGAAAAGAAATAGTATGAATGATTTGTAGCTAATTAAGGTCATTTAATGAATCTGATAAATGACTCTATGGGGGCAGGGATGGAGGAAATGTTTGATTTTAGCTCCAAGAAGGTCAAAGAGACTAGGTCTTGGTCATTTGTATAGGAGTATTTCTCCAACAACCTCAGCCTTAAAATCCCATAATAAACTATCAGCAATGTAAATCTATTGTGCCTTGTACTTTAGGAAATAGTACAAAGTGATTAAGTCATTTGTTTTTCTTATTTTTTAAATATTTGGGCAAATGATTTGTGATATGGAGGTTTTAAAAACAGGAAATAAACATTGTTACTGTTGTACTCTGTATTGCATTTTTTCAGGGGCAATGATGGACGTAATATATGCTTATACTTTAGACCAGTGATGGCGAACCTTTTGAGCTCGGCGTGTCAACATTTTGAAAAACCCTAACTTAACTCTGGTGCCGTGTCACATATAGAAATTTTTTGAAACCATAGTAAAACAAAGATTTATATTTTTGATATTTATTTTATATATTTAAGTGCCATTTAACAAAGAAAAATCAATAAAAAAAATGAGTTCACCGTCACTGTTTTAGACCCATGGGCATGCTTTTCCAGTGCACGTAGAAACTTTTTGTGACATGCTGCTGTTTTCTCTGTTTACTTCCCATTAGGAGATATTAGATATATCTAAGAAATCTACTCCTTGCTTTGTGAACTTCTCCAGGCTACAGCAGATCACAAATATTAAAGCTGAAATCAATCAGGTAAATTATGTTGAACTTTTTACTTTTTACTTCTAGTACAGGAAAACAAATCTTAATTGTTCCTAACAGCAATTCTCTTGCACTTAGAACAGTTTGTAGTACTTAACTGGGTAGGTGTTTACTTATGTAGATTCCTGTTAATGAAATTGTAATAATAACAGCAGTAGTTGGTAGTAGTAGTAGCAGAAGCAGCAACAGGGTTTGCACACCAATGTGAAAAGCTTCAGTGCATCACCTGAGCTCTCATAACAAATCCTCCATCCTCCTCCCCCTAAATAGTCCTGGTTAAAGTCTGTTATTATCACAGATTATCCTTTAATCAGGCTCTTTTCTGAGTGAGGTAAATATTATTTTTGTTCCTAATGCAGAAAAACCTGGAGATTGAACTTCTAAAACTAGAAAAAGATACAGCAGACATTGTTCATCCTTCTTTCTTGGGTAAGTGGTTTGGTTAAATGGGTGGGTAATTATTGGAATTTCAACTTTTTCTTGGATTACCTTAAATAAGCACCAGGCATTATGATATACCATTATTTTTTCAGGTATTGCCCCAAAGCTAACAAAGTATTCTATTTCTGTGTTCAAACAAAAGTCCTGTTGGCTTGCCTAGTGCAAATTGCATAAAAAGTGACCAAGGTAGGAGCTCCTCAAAATTAGGAGAACTTGAAAAACCAAAAAAAGGCTGAGAAACTTTTCAGATTAAAGGGGACTAAAAGGACTTGACAGCTAAATCACAGTGTGTTCATAGATTGAATACTTGATTAGAAAACTTTTTTTGCTGTCAAGGACATTATGGGGCTACTTGGTGATATTTGAATAAGGGCTGTATTAAATATTGTGCCAATGTTAAATTTTCTGAATTTGATACTTGTGGTTATATAAGAGATGGGAAATATATATGCTGACATTTTATGGGCTACTTGGTGATATTGAATAAGGGCTGTATTAATATTGTGTCAATGTTAAATTTTCTGAATTTGATACTTGTGATTATATAAGAGATGGGAAATATATATGCTGACATTTTAGAGGTGAGAGGTCATGATATCTGCAACTTACTCAAATGGGTCAGCAAAAATATTTGTAAGGGTGTGGAGAGAAAGAGGAAAAGAGAGGCTGTAGCCAAGTGTTACAAGTGAGTCTTCAGTGGTCGGCAAACTCATTAGTCAACAGAGCCAAATATCAACAGTACAACGATTGAAATTTCTTTTGAGAGCCAAATTTTTTAAACTTAAACTATATAGGTAGGTACATTGTTATTAACTGAATTAGGGTACTCCTAAGGCTTAGGAAGAGCCACACTCAAGGGGCCTAAGAGCCGCATGTGGCTCGCGAGCCAGTTTGTCGACCACAGGCTCTAGGTGAAATGTATATGGGAGTTCAATGAACTATTCTTGAAACTTTTCTCTAAGTTTGAAAGTTAAAAATTTAAGTCCTAGCTGGTTTCGCTCAGTGAATAGAGCGTCAGCCCGAGGACTGAAGGGTCATGAGTTCGATTCCGGTCAAGAGCACATAACTCAGTTGCAGGCAGGATCCCCGGCGCCAGTTGGGGCGGGTGCAGGAGGCAACCAGTCCATGTGTCTCTCACATCAATGCTTCTCTCTCTCTGTGTGTGTGTCTCTCCCCCTCTCTCCCACTCTCTCTAAAAATCAATGGAAAAAATCCCCTCAGGTGAGGATTAACAAAAAATAAAATAAATAAGAAAAATAAATAAAAATTTAGCCCTGACCGGTTTGGCTCAGTGAATAGAGCGTCAGCCTGCGGACTGAAAGGTCCCAGGTTCAATTCCAGTCAAGGGCATGTACCTTGGTTGCTTACACAGCCCCAGTGGGAGGTGTGCAGGAGGCAGCTGATCGATGTTTCTCTCTCATCGATGTTTCTAACTCTCTATCCCTCTCCCTTCCTTTCTGTAAAAAAATCAATAAAATATATTTTTTTAAAAATTTAAAAGAAGAGGCCATTAACTGAATTCTAGAGCAAATATTGAAATGATCAGAAATAGCTTGTAAAACAAATATTTGTTTTTTAATGTTTATGTAGAGTATTAGAGGCAGGGATGGGAAAAGAGATGTTATTTGAAGAATGTAGCACTGGCTATAAAAACTGAACTAGAAGTAGAGTTGAAAAACACAGGATTTAGCAGTGGGTTTGGTTGTCAATAGGAAAAAATAAAATGAAATTGATATTGGATATTAGGAATAGCAAAGGGGAGATATTTAGGAGAGCAATGGTGAGATAATTTTGGCTGTATCAAACCAAAGCAGAATTTATTAGTGATTTCAAAATGTACTTGTCCTGCTCTGGTCAGTGTTCTAAGTGGTTAGAGCACCCACCCTCTCACTCAAGGGTTGCAGGTTCTATTCCTGGTCAAGGGCACATACCTGGGTTGCAGGCTTGATCCCTGGAGCCAGTCAGGGAGTGTGCGAGAGGCAACCGTTTAATGTCTCTCATTTTCTCTCCCTCCTCCCTTCCTTTCCATTTTCTCTAAAAATCAATGGAAAAATCCTCGAGTTAGGATTAACAACAACAAAAATGTTTCCTTGTCCTATTGCTAACTATAATTACTGTTTCTGGTTTGTGTAGCTCAAAAGTGTCAAACTCTGCAAAGCATGAATAATCATTTGGAAGCAGTGCTAAAAGAGAAGAGGTCCCTCAGGCAAAGACTGTTGAAACCCATGTGCCAGGAAAACCTGCCTATTGAAGCAGTTTATCACAGGTTAGACTAAAAAGTAGACATTAGCAGTTACACGTCTTCTGAAGGTAGTTTAAACTAGTAGTTTTTTCATAGCATAATTCATTGAATAATATATTAGTGATTGTATCTATTAACATTATTAATGCTGACACATTAAACCAGAAAGAAAATCCTTGGCTTTAAAAGTATAGTTATGGTGAAAAGAAAGGTATTCCTTTGTTCATAGTGTTTTGGGAATTATAAATAATGATTTTCATGATAGAAATTAGATCCATAACATAGAGTAAATAAGGTAAAATCATGTTTATTATATATAGACTGCTTTCTATGAAGTAAAGTTATTGTTGCATTAATGTTGCCTATGTAGGGTGGGGCAAGAATAGGATTACAATTGTGAGTATGGGAAACACAGAGTTCATTCTTGTATTATTATTTATTACGAGGGGGCCCAGTGCACAAATTCGTGTACCTTGAAAGGAACTGTGAGCCATGAGGCTGTGGTGGGCACAGGGGCAGGTCTCAGCCCATCCTCTGCACCTCCGCCCGGCCCCTCCCACTGCGGCCCCCAGTCCCCTGTCTGCTGGCAGCCCCGCTCCTGCTCCCATGTGCAGACGGTGCCGGCCCCACTGGCACTGGCTGATGGCGCGGAGCGATTGGGGCTGGCACCGTCAGCGGGATGCGAGTGGTGGCTGCTGCCCCAGTCGCCCCTCAGGAGCAGGAGAAGGTGGAGAAGCCCTCAGGCGATCAGGGCTGGCAGCCGTTGCTCACACCCGCTAACGGTGCTGAGTAATTGGGACTGGCGCCAGATGCCAGCAGCAGGTGCGAGTGGTGGCTCAGGCACCGGCTGCAGGTGCAAGCGGGACCGGCGCTGGCAGTGGGTGTGAGCAGCAGCTCCAGTGCTAGCAGCGGGTGTGAGTGGGACTGTTGCCAGCAGCAGGTGCAAGAGGTGGCTGCCGGCCCCGATCGCCCCTCAGGAGCAGGGGGAGGTGGAGAAACCCTCAAGG